CCAATTTCCTCTTCTTTCTTCGCAGCCCTTCACCACTAAATGCCAAACTATCTTCTGCATTTTTTTTTTCTTTTGGATGTGTGAGATAAGTAATGGAAACGGAGAGATGAGGATGAACAGAGAGGCGCTGGACGGGATGAGAAGAAGAAGGGGACAGAACGGGATCAGAGAGAAGGCAATCGATCCAGACAAGGCCTGGATTCAAAACGACGCCGTTTAAAATTGGAAGTCTTCTCCCGTCCTTGACTTTGACCTGCCTGACATTTAAATCCCCATACTTTGTTCTGTTTCTCTCTAGTCTCCGCACAATGAAACATGCATTTTAAATGTTTGCAATTTAGTAGAAATGCGAATAATTCTATTTAATCTCGCTTTTCTTTGTCAAAATTTTTTGTGCTAATTTCCTACGTCACATTAAAGCTCAAATATTTTTAAAATTTTCATTTAAAACATAAGAATTTATGAGAAATTAATATATTAAAAAAATCAAAATTGTTTGACACAATATCAAAGTTTTAAAAAATTGGGTATGACACTATTAATTTTATATTCTCATTCCTTGCTTCAAAACATATGGTGTACATTACAAGAATGATACAGTTAAAGAAAGTGAAAAATGCATCCTAATTGATTTTCCAATAACAAAAAAATCGATATATATTGGCTTGAACTTTAGTTTATTTTTAATTTCAAGAAATGTAGTATTTTTTTTTTTAATTTGTATTCAAACGAATTGTGGTTCTAATACTAATCTGAGAATGCTCTTTTGTTATGGTTCTTTGTAATAATATATAATCACAAGCCGCTTATGCACCCCAAGCATGTTTTACAAAATCGAATAAAAGTTACATATCTTGAGTGAAAAATAGGAGGATCAAAGGAAAGATCTCCAATTACTTACTTTTCTACGCTGTAATCACCTTTGCAAATGTTGAAGCAAAAAATGAGAATAATGTAACTAACAAAATAAGTCCCTGCACATTGTTAATAGTATTTGGCCTTAATTAAGTGTAATGCCAAAGCAACTGTTGGGGGTAGTTGTTGTTAGAAAAAGGTAAAGAAGAAAACAAAAGCATTAGAAAGCTTTGTAACATAATCTCACCTTTCTTAAAAATTTAAAAATGCTCTAAAATGTAATAAAACTGAAAAATTTCTTCAAATTAGGTATAAAATGTAAACTCTATTAAAGGAATCTATACTGGCCAAATAAACATCAATTGAAGAGTGTTTTTGTAGAAAAACACCTGTCAAAGGATTGTGTTTTTATAAAAAGATATCATTAAAAAAGGGTATCTTATAACGGTCAAAAGTTGTGTATGAATTTTAGACACATTTTTTCAATTTCAAAACAATTAAATTAAATTAAAAAATAATTTTTTTTCTAGCACGTCAAATTCTCAAGTGCCCATCTAAATGATAATATAAAAGGATTAGGCCTAAACTCAGTTTCTATTGGCCATGAGTTCTAACTTTCTATAATTATTTATAGATAGAGGGTAAGCATACATAAATCCCTTATTTCTTTATTTTTTCCTAGATGTAGAACTTTCTTCATTTTAAACTGTTCAAAAGGCATTGGAAAATAGGTCTATTTTCAATCTCTACTTTCTAATGAAAGTGGAAAGGGATAAACATTTTGTTTGGCATTCGAAAAAGAATATCATTTTTTAGAGAAGGAAAAGGAGCTAGAATGGATACAGATACAGACATTCTTTGTTTTGATACATTTATTAAAAAAATATTATTTTTTTGTTTAAAATTAAAAATAAAAAAATTTAAAATTATAGATTTTAATGTCTAAATTAGTTGTGAATATGTTGAATAAAAAATTGTACTAATTGTTTTTCAAAAAAATATTGGAAAATGGAAAACAACCAAAAGTTGATTCTCAAAATAGGAAAATAATTAAGAAGGCCCTTAATAGCAAGAAAAAGGAAATTGTTAAACGACTAAACGAGGAACCTCTATGAGACAAATAAGTATTTGTGGTTAACTGTTAATTATTAAAATTTACTTTATATAGGACCCCTTTTCATCGGTAAACCCTCCATTTAATCACT